CTAGGAACTAGGCTCAGGGTTGTGGGGGAACAGTGAGCTACCCAGGCTTCTCTCTCCTCTGTCTTCTGAGAAGTGCGCTAGCCTTCCTGGGCTAGGGACCCACCCAGCCTCCACAGGAGAGAAAACTCCAGTATGCGCTTCATGCAGTCACAGGTGCAAATGAGCCCAGACTCTGAAGTCCCAGCAAGGACATGCTTTTGGAGAAGACTCCATCCAAGCAGGTACAGCCTGTAGGATCGTTGTGTTGTTTCGCACAACGTGCCACCATCATGTATGCCGTTGGTTTCCGTGTTTGGCAGACGACTGCCAGCCTCTCTAAAGTATAAACTGGGAGAGAAGTGACCCAGCCTGGGTGGGTGGTGCTCCTAGACATCCTCTCAGAGCTTTCTCCCAGAAGCCTGCCCTCTACTTACCCCACCATGGACAAATGGCTTCTCCGCCACCCAGGAAGTGACAGGAAACAGAGGCACTTGCAGTCTCTGTCCAGGTGATGCTCCGGGACACCTTCCTCCCCCTGGGGGAGCAGCGTCTACCCACAAGGGCACCCATTCTTGCAGCTGAGCGCTCAAAGCAGTGCTAACACTCAGCTCCCTACAGTGCTCACGCTGACTGAGAAGCAGGCCAGATAGGGCCGGGGTCAACTGCAGTGTGTCCCGGTGAGGAAGCAGCAGCCATGGGCTGGACTGAGCTCTGAGTCCTGGATTTCTCAGCCTTGCAGTTTTTTGAACAAACTCTGAGGTCTGGATTTTTTTAATCAAATCATCTCATTAGCAAGCGTTGGCGAGCAGTCCAGTTCTTTAAATCCTATGAAGGACAAATTAAAAAAGAATGTTCTTAAATACCCATAGACAGAGGTCATTCCTGATTCATCACCAGGCAATGCAACTTCTCAGTCCATAAAGAAGCTGAAATTTCCAAACAGTGTGAACAGGGCAAAGGCAAGAAATGGGAGGGGGGTGGGAGGAGAGGCCCTCCCTGGTGGTGCAGAGCTAAAGTGCAGCACTAGGAAGCTGGCCACAGCCCCTGCAGCGTGAGTTCCATCCCCGGCCAGGGAGTGACCCACAGGGCGCTGCAGACCTCGCCTGTCTCCCCGCTGCTCCCCTCAGCAGTGGACTTCAGTGGATCTTCCTGTCCTGCTCCCCACTCTGTCTCTGAGGAATCCTCTCAACCCCTGCACCTCCAGCCTACACCCCAGTTCTTGTATGCATAAATAAATAAATCTTCAAAAAGGAGGACAAGGAACAGGCCCAAAACCCATGGTTAGGCCTCAGCAAACTCTGCTTCCCAACCCCTAGCAAGGAGCTTAAATGCCAGTTCCTCCCCTCCCAGGTTCATGGAGCCTCCATCTCAGCCGGGTGTTGGCCCAGGACTAAGGAGAGGGGGCAGCCGAGTAGCCTGGTTGCTCTTTTCCTCCATTCAAGCCAGGACCAAGATCACCAAGGCCCTGAGCTTCCCCCTGGAGGGGTCACAGATAAGGCTATCACAGGGGAGCCAGACTGGGCTTGACGGAGTTCTCTAAGCACCAGCTTCCCCACCTGTAACTAGAGGTACCTCAAGGTGCAAATTAGAGAAAGCCCTGTTCCCTCCAGGACAGCTCTAAGCCAGAGCGCATTCCTTGGTGAGCACAGAAGCACCTGGCTTTCCCTCCTATAGACCCAGCAGCCTTCATCCTGAGCAAACAGTCCTGGCCACCCCTGTCGACCTTGGGGGAGAACTAAAGGAGACACTGTTGGAAACCGCTGGATGCAATTGTTCAGTGGCAAATAATAAAAACTTGACCAGCTACTCTTAATCTTATCTTTTTTTAGGGCTGAACAGAAAATGATACCAACACACCTCACACCAGTACAGGGTGCTCAGCAGGATTTTAGGGAAAATGGAGAATGGGAAATCACTGACATTGAATGGTGAGAGACAGTCCCTTTTTCTCCTGGTTTCTCAGCTCTCATTTCTTCTAAGAGTTAGTAATTAAGACTCCCAATACTTGCTAATCTACACACACACACACATGCAAAGGCCTCTAGAAGTCATTCAACTTCTTGGCTCAGTAAAGTGACTAAGACGCAACAACATGCTTCGGTTGTGTTTATCTTTTACAATTTCCTTTTATGGTGAGCAATAGTCACGTTGCAATTTACAGTAGTAATAGCAAGTTTTCTTTTCAAAAATGGTACTTTTTTTTTTCAATGCATTGATTTAAGGGGAAATAGCCTAAGTAAATAGTAGTAGAGGTGGTAACAGAGGCTGGAACTTGGGGACCTTCCAGATCTCTCTTTTTTTTTTTTTTGCTTTTGCATCCAAAGCTCTGCGCTTCTCTCGTGGGGAGCTGGAAGCTGATAGAGTGTGGGGCAAATGTCGAAGGTCCAGAGCTTCTTGGATGCAGGCCTCTGGCTTTCTAGCAAGGAATAGGCTCCCTCTGAGCTCAGGGTTCCTGACACCCAGACCTCTTTGGGAGCTTCCCAGATCTCCCTGGGGAAAGCTCATCCTTCCGGATTGGCCCTGCCCTCCTCAAGGCTCCCTCTGGCTGAGCCTGGGCACAAGCTGCAGCGGGCACCCATACCCCATACCCCAGGGGCCTGCATGCAGGTGAAGCCAATGCCCCTCCAAAATTAATGGGGCGCACCATCTAGTTGAGTTTGCTCCCCCATACAAACTCAGAACCACAAACAATTCACTCTTTCAAGGACGCTGTGGCTGGGCTGTGGGGAGTGACTGTCTGGGGTCACTCCACAGGGCAGAGCTGGAAACAGCAGGGAGCAGTTCTGATGCCCGTGGACTGAGGGCTCCACAGAATGTCTTGAGTATGTGAGGCTGGGGGACATGGAGGAGCTGTCCCTGCTAGCAGGCCATGTGGAGGGCGACTGAGGGCTGCCTTCATGGAAGTGTGTCAAGGAAGGATGCCCTCCCGGCCTGAGACAAGGTCGCTCTCTGTCCTGGGCCCTTAAGACCTTTGATCCTGCAGAGGACCAGCTGAGACCACAAAGCCAGTGCCCACTGACCACTCTCTTGGGCCTGGGACGCTCCTGCCCACTCCAAACTGCAGCGGAAACACGACATTTCCATGCAACAATGCAAACACCCTCATTACCATCTCCTCAATATGCATGAAGAAAATGCGCTCTCCAGCCTGCCCCACTGGCTCTGGCCTCAGCTTCCAATAAGGCCACATATTCATCTCCCAAGATGAATGGGGAGGGGGTCTCCAAGGCAGAGCTGAGGGAAGGGGGTGTGGGGACAGATCCTGGAGAGGAAGAGGAGAAGAGAAAATACTGGGGCAGAGGGGGACCAGCGGCCAGAGGGAGTCCAAGGAGGAGCCTGGAGAGGATCAGGAGGAGAGAGGGAGGAAGCAAAATCTGACAAACAAGGATGTCCGAGAGACACAGTGGTAGAATTGGGGAGAGAAAAAATAAGGGGAGAATGAAGGAGCAAAACTGAGAAAAGTACATGGACGGGGGTGGACACCATTGGGGGAGAAGAGGGCAGAGAAGCAAAAGGAAGGACCCAGAAACTGAAGGAGGAAAAGAGCCAGAGACAGAATGAGGGGCAGAGGAAGACAAAGTGGGGAAGAAAGTCGTGAAAATGCTCAAGCTGGTCGAGAGACGATGATCCAGTGGAGTGGCCGAGAATAAAATCAGGGTCCAGGCCTGGTGAATAGAAGGCCATTCCGGTCTCTGGCTCCCTCCGCTGCTCCTCAGCCCGGGGCTCCCGCTAAGAGGCTAAGACGCAGAGAAGATGCCGAGCCCCGGGGGTCAGTGCCTTCCAGGGTGGCCCTCCGCCGGGCGGGCGCTGGGGCCTGTTAGGGGCCCATCCCGCGCTGAGCGGCTGCCTCCGCCGCCCCAATCCAAAGGCCTCTCCCTCGCCCTGAGCAAAGTTGGAAAGTTTTCCCCCAAAGTTTCCCGTTGCTTCTCTGAAGCCAGGGAGGGGCTGCAAGACCCTGGCGGCTGGAGCCCAGTGGCTGTTGGTTCAGGGCGGCTCGAAGAGGGCAGCCAGCTCACACCTCCTGGGAAACTCCCCGGCAGGTTCGGCCAGGTAACCCCTCCGGTGCGGCCGGCCTCCAGGCCACGCACTCCCGAGTCCCCGCCGCTGCTAATAGCGGACGGAGAGAAAGAGGAAGAGACCGAGAGGGAGAGAGAGACAGGGAGAGAGGAGGAAAAAAATATTCTCAGCTCAATTTAAGTCTCATGGAAAGGGCTTACAACTGTAATTAAATCATTAAATTCTTGTCTACGCTTCACAGAGCGGAGAGAAATTAACTTCCCACCAACCTCATTTTCTATTTGAACATGAAATAATGATTTTCTGCCCGTCTAATTACAAAGCCAACATCTGATCAAGCCAGCATCCAGAGGGGATTATCGCATGCACGAGTATTAGACCTCATTACCAGCTTGAGTGCAAAATTATTACATCTTGTAATTGGATGGTGAGATTTATATACAGATCGGCCCGGTTTCTGTAAGATTGTAATTACAAGCTTCGTTGGTTAGCTACTTATCAGAACTTTGCAGGAAAACAAAACAAATGACTGAGGAAAACGAGCATTTCATTAACCTGTAACCCGAGCACGGGGGAGGGAGCGGTGGGAGTGTGTGCCGCGGTGCCTGGAGGAAGCCGAGGGATAGCGGCCGGCTGCACTGCAGTCGTGATTCCCGGCCTACCAGCGAAGCAGAGGCGTGGGCCTCGGCCCGGGATCGAGGGAGGTAGAGGTACCCGGGAGCTGGATGTGAACTCAGCATGGCGCTGGGCCAGGAGGGGGACCCGCCGCTGGGCTGCAACGCCAGGCACCGGCACCTCACCGGCACCTCTAACCTTCTCGGGCCGCGGGCCTGGGCACACGCGGCCAGAGCTGAGCCTGAGTGTCTGGTGAGCGCTGCTGTCTACACCCTGCGTGTGCTATGGACACCCTCTGCGCACTCCCCGCTCCCGGCTGGGCCGCCCGAAGAACTCGGCAGCGAAGCTTCGAAGCGCTCTGTGCCCTGAGAAAGTTGGAAGCAGGCGAGATGGCCGAGAAGCTTTTCCGTGCAGTGCGTTCTTGCGCACCAGCCTTACCCAAATCAACTTCCCATGCACCTGCTTTTTCTCCCTGTGCCAGGGTGTCATTCTGGCGCAATCTCTTGGATTAAAAAATCTCTTGGAAAAGGCTCGGCGGCCCTCGGACCCGCGAGTTCAGTTCCGAGCCAGCTCCACGTCGGGCTCCCCGCCTAGATGCTGAGTCCCGACGGGGCACGCGGACCGCCCCGGCCAGGTCAGGGCTGTTCCGCGTTGGACTCCAGGGGAGTGGAAAGGCCGCTTTCGCGCGGAATCCGGGGTGCCAGCTAGGATCTAATTCATCGAAGTTCTTAGGTCCGAATCTGGGGCTAGAGGCTCACCCTCTGTGGCATGGGGTTGTTGGGCGGGTTCCCTGAGAACACCCTTGCCCCTTCCTCGCCCTGTCTTCCCGCCTCCCGCAGTCTGGGCCGCTAGGTCGATAGCCGGCTAATGCGGAAGAAGCATCTCCCGGCTCATTGTTTCTCCTTCCCTTCTGGGAGAGCGGAATTGAACAGCGGGCGTTTCATCCGGGCACTTAGAGCACTGCCCGGTTTCCCCACCTCGGGACTCTCATTCTTAGCTCCGCCCTGGTCTGGTGGCAACTCTCCGTGCAAACTCCAGGAGTTCAGGGCCATCGAGGCTCGAGCTCTGGCACCTAGGAGATACCCCTGAAAAATAATGTTTTTTTCAGCCCAGAGATTTTTGTAGCCCAGAGATTTTTCGCGAGAAGGTGAGCGCGTGATTCCCCGTGCCACTCGTTGCGAGGTTTAGTTGGAAACGAAATCAGGCGCCGGGCAAACAGTTCAAAGCCAGAGCTTCTCCAGATATCTCCTTTGGGGAGAATCCCGCTTATGCCAACGCTGAGCACCAGGGAGAGCAGGTGGGGAGGGCCCAGGCAAGCAGCTTGAGTCAATTTGCAAAGGCCTAGCACCCAAACTTCCCCTTTTCTTCCCCGCAATGGTCTCAGCCTTCATGCTTACTGGAACGACCAAACTCAGGCAAAGAAATTGGGAGTTGGGTCAAAACTGGGTGCCAGCAGGAACGGAAGAGCCCTGCTTCCCCGAACCCGGATCCCCAGAGCTGCAGAGAGCAGAGACGGCCGGGCCGAGACTCGCCAAGCCCTCCACTCTGGTGGAATTCGGATTTGATTCCTCCATCAATCAGCGCGCAGCGGCCAGTTTCCTCCCCCAAGCCGGGCTGGCAACTTCACCCCAGTCACCGCCCCCGTGTCGTCCCGAGCGCCCGCCGCCTGCGCGGCCTAAAGCGTTTAGCCCCGAGCGGCCGCGATTCCGGGAATTTCAGTCCCGCTCTGGGCTGCACTCCCTAAGGTGGGTGGGTGCCGGTTCCTGGGATTTCAGGTTTGATTTAGGAAGTAGCTCACCGCGAAACTAAAAGTCTTGCCTCCCACCCCCACCTGAGACTTGGGAAGATCCTTGTAGAAAGAAAACAGGGTCTGGTGCCCAGCCCCTGGAGCAGGGGAAGGGGCAGTGAAACGACCTACAGATTGCAAATGCCAACCCAGAAACTTCTGGAAGAGCTCTCCGAAAGTTCCCGGAGCTTCTGCCGCCCAGCTCTCCGCTCCTCCCCCATCCCACTCCACTTTCGGGGCACCGGCGGGCTCCACTTTCCAGTCGTCACTCCTTAGGACCCCGGACGTACATTCTCCAGCCCGCACCCCTCCCCGCCCCCGCTCCCTGCCCCCTCCCGTCCGAACCCGCCATTTCGAATGGGAGATACGCTCCTGCACAATTTCAGGGTTCGGTCCTCGCGGGTAGGGGGCTGTCTCGTCGCAACCCCCCCACCCCCACCCCCGAACCAGCCCCCGGCAGTGAAATGGCCCGCGAGACCGAACTGGAACGCACCCAGCTCACGCCCGCGCACTCTTCGCTCCCTCCCCAAGCC